GTTAAAAAGAGAGAGTTAAAAAAAGTTTCAGTTTATTTTTAGATTCTGAGCGGAGCGATGTATGCATTGATTTTATAATGATGTGTGTTTTTATATTTATTTAATTATTTAATTATTTATTTATTTATTTGTTGAGTCTGTTATCACAGTTTCTTGCAGTAAAAGTGCTTCGATTATCTTCAATAACAACTTTCTAAGAATTATTAAACCAAAGTATTGCATTTTGTTTTTGAATTAAAACACAATTAATTTCTGGGCAGTTGTTAAATGGTCTCGACGTCCTTTGTAGTATAGTTGTGTTAACTGACGATTTTGTTGTTTTCGGAATATAAAACCATCGCATTATCTATACACATGGGTAATTACTAATTACCCTATTACTTTAAACCTATTCTACCTTACAATCTTAATTATTTTTCCTTTATTGTATAGATTAATGACGTGAATATAATAGGAAAAAAATAATAACTCAAATATTAATTTCATACTTGTTTGAAGAAATAATATATACATATTAGGTACATAATGAACTCCATAAAAAAATTATCTGTACGATTGAACTTACATCATATTATGCGTTTGGATTTTGTTACAATAGTTATAATTTTTAAGTTTATATTATGAATTCAACGAAACTATTTAGTTATAATATAAGGTACATTATAGTACCTACCTATCTATAACACTTTTAATTTTGATAAAATATATTTGATACAAATTATTTCACTGAATGTATAGGTATTGAAATATGTAATATAATACATTAATACATAAATACTTATTCTAATTAAATCACAGACTTCTATACTACGCAGTATACTGTATTATAGAAATCTGTGAATTAAATAGGCTTTGTTAATCATACCATATAAACTATAGGTTGATACTATAGTATAATATGTTATTTTATAATAAGTTATTTCTATAATATGTTATTTTGATAGACATGTAAATGAAGAAAAGAGGGTAAGTGGATAACGATCTGCTTGCTGTACATTAGGTGTGTAGAGAGTCACTGTAATGGATGTGTTAAATTTGAATTCAATGACATAAAACTATTGTATACTAATGAGTTACTATATTTTATGATATTATTGTAATTAAGGTAATTTAGATAAGTAGTTTCACTTTTCCATCAGTATTATATTATAGGACATTTATCAAAAATAAAAATATCATTTTCATTTTTATTTGATGGAAAAGTGAATTGGTGGATAAGGTAAAGGTTAGGTTTGGAGGAAACGGGTAACACCCAGGTATATCAGGTAGGCAATATACCTGCAGAGGATTACATTTGTTATAGTTAGGTATTTTTCTTTTTTTTTTTGTTGAAACTAGTACAATTTGTTATAAAATTTATTATAAACAGGGACCAAATTTATATGCACAAAAATTCTCAAAACATGCTTCTAACAATGCTGTAATATGCAATAAAACAGTGATGGTATGAGATGGGAATAACTCAAAGTTACTAGAGCACTAATTTTTAGAAAATTCTGGCAGGCCAGAACATAGAATATAGAAAGCAAAAAAATGGGGGGAGGGGGGTCAATCAAAATATACATTTTAATTAGAATTTATTTTGTTTATAATTTAATTTGAAAATGTAGCCAGATGTAAAATATGCATTAATTTATTAAAAATCCATATAAAATTGAATCAAAAAAATTTTATTTAAACCATATAAAATTGAATCAAAAAAATTTTATTTAAAACTATATAAAAATAGGTATTAATTAATTAAGTATTAAAAAGGTATAAAAAGGATTTTAAAGTATAAAACAAGTATTTTGTCCTCTTCACTAAGTTCTTCGACACTTAACATTCTTTACTTTAAATCTAAAAAATATTGTCCCACATTTTTGTAATAATTATATTGATATTATGTAGCTGTGAAAGTGAAAAAATGAAGAAAAACAAATATATGTGCTATAAATAATAATATGGACTATAAAACAATAATTATGCATTAAATCTAGATTTAATAGGTAAAAACATCAAAATATACAAAATACAATTAGTTTTATTTTAATAAGAATGATCTAAATTGAGGACAATTCTCATCAGATTTCAAAAAAGCTCATTAAAATACATATATGCATTTACATATGAATCCGGTCTCTAATTATAAATTATAATATTATAACGTATGACTTACCCGAGTTAGTATTTAAATCTGAAAATAGTTGTTGTTAGATAGGTACAGATAACGTGAGATTAATTTTAAATTATAATTTAAAATACATTAGTATTAAGTGTATTGTTGGATGAGTCGCTGCCAAAGGTTGGGTACCATCGCCTGTCCTGGTCAGGCAAATGAAAAAATAAATTAAAGAAGAATATCTCAAATATTAAAACACCCTATCTGGCAGAGTTCACATAACTTACAAAGTCTTACTTGCAGAGATTATATTCTTAATTGTATAGGTATAATTTACATACATTTATTGTTTGCACAGTGTACCAAAATGGTTATTTTTCTAAATGAATCAAAGTATGTAATTGTACTGCATTTTATCCTAAAGAAAAGTCAACTGTATTTCATTGTTATAAAAGAGTTCCATTACCTACCCACTAAAAAACAGATATAATATTTGAGATATTCTTCTTTAATTTATTTTTTCATTTGCCTGACCAGGACAGGCGATGGTACCCAACCTTTGGCAGCGACTCATCCAACAATACACTTAATACTAATGTATTTTAAATTATAATTTAAAATTAATCTCACGTTATCTGTACCTATCTAACAACAACAATTTTCAGATTTAAATACTAACTCGGGTAAGTCATACGTTATAATATTATAATTTATAATTAGAGACCGGATTCATATGTAAATGCATATATGTATTTTAATGAGCTTTTTTGAAATCTGATGAGAATTGTCCTCAATTTAGATCATTCTTATTAAAATAAAACTAATTGTATTTTGTATATTTTGATGTTTTTACCTATTAAATCTAGATTTAATGCATAATTATTGTTTTATAGTCCATATTATTATTTATCATTGTCTAAGTAGACGGCTGAATTAGACAGCGAGGATGTCAGCGGAATATTAAATTTATTTTGTTTTTTCTCAGACTCATGTTCAACATATATAAAACACTCAGCTAAAACCGGGTTTATTATAATTTTTGAGTAATCATAGAATAAAATCACCTAAATAATTACAAAAACTCAAGAGGATAATATTTCTAAGGAATTTAAATATTGGTTTTATATTTTTTTATTATTTGACTTTGTATTTAACTTCCAAAATAAAATTTTTTTTGGAAATATAAATGGTGTTTCAATTGTTTTGAAACAATAATTAAACAACCGTTATGATCATTTTTTAATGGGTGATTTCACTCTAAGACTGCTCAAAACCATAAAAATATGATTCTGCATAACTGAGTATTGTCTATGTTGCGAGTGAGCAAGAGAGAGAAAACAAACAGTCTACTGACATCTTCTTAATAGTTGATGTATTATGTTTTTTTAAAATTATTATTTCCATTGGATAGAAGTTTTGTTCTCAAGTCTAGCAATAGGAAACCTGCTCGGGGACTGCCTAGCGTTCAATATTTAATGTTTAATTGGATTATATATACATATAAGTACCTAAACTATGAGTTGTTTTGTTTGATTATTTAAGAGAAGTTAAGAGTTGAATTACAGTCACAACAGTGATAAAATGTTTTCGTAAGAAGTATTAAGAATATATATTTGTATTATAAATAATTAAATATAATGTTTTAAATTGCATACAATGTTACAAAGTTAAATAAGGCAATAACAGAATAATAAAATGTTTTAGCTCATATTAAGCATACAATAATTGTCATAACAAAATTAAATTAAATACATTGTATATTAAATTTATATTATTGGACGGATAATGTCTTAATGATTTTTATTACTTAGTGCACTTAAAGATCATAAAATTGACAAAATGTTATACCAATACATAATATATAAGTACATTTATCATAATCAATTTATGTATAACTAGGTAAACAGTTTAGAAATAATTAATTATAAAAATGCAGATATCTTAGTTCAATGACATTTTAAACATAATATTTATCAGAAATTTTCTATAAATAAATATTGAAATTTGTTAAATAAATCATGTTATTACAACAAAAAAAAATTATCAGATTAATAACACATTACAAAACTTGGATAACTATTAACCACTCTGAAGAATGTAAATCATAATTTTAAAAGTTTGAAGTTATGTAAGCTCATAGTTATTTTACAATACAAACATAACTTTAAACATTACATGCATTGATTATATTGTTACAAAAAATATATTAACATTAATGGATTTATATTTTAATATGACTAGGAGAGAATTATTTTTTAAGACATTCTTTGGTAATAGTTGATTTGTATGAAAAACACACATTAGTGATTACAGACGAATAAAAAGAATAATGTGAAGTAATAAAACAATATAATTTATCAATATAAAAAAAATAAATAAAAAATGTTTGTTTTTGATAAAAATAATATAGTAATTTACAATATATAACATATAAAAAAAATATTATCAAATAAATATTTATTGTAAAACTTAAAATAGATTTTTGAATAAGTAACAAAGATTTTCATATTATGTAAAGGGTTTCATTTTGGTAATAGTTTAAATCATTAATACATTTAGATTTAATAACAAATAAAATAAAATATACAAACAATTTTTAACAAGTTAAAATATAATAATAATAAAACGTCTTAGTTTAAGAAATAACAAAAATCAATAATTAGCTGTTTATTTGGTATAAAATATTTAAATGAATAGAGGTATATTTAATTTTACTATTGTATATATAAATGTATTTTTTTTAGAACAATATTGGCTTCAGTAACTATTATTTACCATGAAAATTAGTATTTTAATAAAAAAGTTTAAGTAATTTTTATTAAAATTACTTATAAATTATTCATCCAATTTAATTTGATCTAAATTAACAATTTTAATTAAAACATATTAACATTGCATGTGTTTACTATGACTTAGGTAACCGGCATAAAATGTATTTAAATTAAGTGAGGCTTTGATAGATTTACTTGTAAAAGTTTAATGTTTACATTATTATAAGATTTTCAATTAAATGGTTTAAGTAGTTTGTTTACTGTATGAACTGACAATAAAATATTTTTATGAGTTATTAATATTTGTTTTATACTTTTCTTAAGGTTAATATAATAATCAATTATAATATCATTTAATAAAACAATAATGTAACATTTTTTACTAATACATATTCTACAGTGAACCATATACCAAAATCAGCTCTTGGAAAATTATGATATTTTATAGTGGCATAGAAATAATTATTTTAAAAAATAGCTATAAAATGTCATTCAAAAAAATATATGTTAGTATAAATATTAAAATATATTAATTTATAACAAAAATGATTGTGATGTTTGATTAAAAAGTATTATCATATATTAATATTAGTAAAATAAATATGGTAAAAAGTGATGAACTGTTTAAATTAGTAAACAGAAAACGGATTAATACTATTTGATTATTGTGTATATCAGTATGATGCTGTTGATGTGGTTGTTTGTTTATGAACTGCTATATTTCCTTGTGCAATTTCTCCGCGTTGTATTGCTTGATATTTCAATAAAGCATCATATCCATATGCAAACATCGCAGCAAATCCAAATAACTATATTAATTCAAAAATATTTATTAGTAATATTTTACTATTATCATCTACAGATAAAATCCTTCCTAAATAATTTATGTTTGTAAATAACATTTTAAAGAAGAAAGCTATATTGATAGATGGATAAATAACTTGTCATTTTCAGGTTGAATTAGTGTGCAATAAAATATATAAAAATGATTTTTCGAATTCATAAAATATACATAAGTCAATACAAATCCCTGTTGAATTGAATTATAATTAATTATTGGTTAACATTACATTTGTTAAATAAATATTGTTTTTATTGTTTATTTTTTACATTTATATGTTGGAGAGGGTGAACAGTCAGGTGATAAAGTCTCCAAAAGATTTTCCCCTATAGCATATATTTCTATTCATCTGTCTGAAAATGCATAAAAAGATGTAGCTTTAAAATCAAAATAATCAAATATTTAAGAAATTATTAAAAGTTAGAAAGTTAAAATACGAATAAAACTATAATATTATCTAACATTCAACAATAGATTTTTTTTTTAATTACTGAAGGCGTAATATTTTTTTTAAATATATTAGTTTTGACAAATAAAAATAAAAACGTCAAATTGTTTGGTATTGGTAAAGAAGAAATTAACAGATGTAATTGTTTATTCTATGTTAACATTGAGAAATTAATAATATTAATTTTTTCATACAAAAGAGATGCATAAAATATTTTTGACCCCCCCCCCCCCCCCCCCCCATTCATGAATATTTATAAATTTCCAAAAATAATGAACAGGGATTTTAAACATAGAAGACTGATTTGTAAGTCATAAAAAATAAATTAAAATTTTAGTTCAAGTAAAAAGATTGGAACAATAATATTGTAATTAATTTATATTTACATACCAAACTTATCATGTAGCTAAAATGCAACCCAGTATAAGCCGCTGCAGAGGATGCTGATAAAAGGTAGAGTATTGGCCAGCAAACATCAAAAATCATCTCCTATAATTAAATTGTTCAGACATTAAAAAACTTAAATCACATGTTAAACTATTTGAAAAAAAATTTTAGAATCTTTTAAGGTATATATTTTTGTAGTAATCATTTTCAGTTTGACTATACTTACAATTTTAAGCCATGGTATTTTATAAAAGCATTCGACCACATGAAATATATAGAATACCAACATGAATAAAGAAAACCAAAATCCAAACATTGATATTGATGTAACAGCGCTATTTTGATACCACATACTGTACGTAGAGAATGACACTGCTATAAGACTTAATAAAACAAACACCTAAATATAAAATCATCATATTAATCAATAATTTAAGGACACATTAATCTGAAACAAAAAAATAAAATAGATTCATTGAAACCAAAAAAATTATATAACTCATATTTTAGACAGCCAGAAATGTTTTTAATGATTTTGTCTTTTTGGGATCGAAAAACTCTAAGCTTAATTATATATGAAAACTGAATAAAACATCATTTTCAACCTTAAAATAATTTTTAAAGTAACAGCTTTTATTTATATAAGTTAATATTTAATTAAGTTCAAAAATTCATTAGTGAGTGTCATTGGTGACTTCTCACATCTTGTGTTTCATATAAATATATATGTTTATATTAGTTCTCTCTTATTTTTTTTTCAAGACTTCATGTATTATGTATATGTGATTTCACTCTTATCACATATACTCATTGTGCCCCTCAGGTATAGACTATATATTTTAAATAAAGGAAAAAAAAAGTTCAAAATGAATATATTTTTATAAATGAATTGAATATATTTTTTTATTTTTTACGTAACTCTAAAATTGTTGGAAAACCCAGTGGTTTCTGTTTATTTTATTTATGTTTATAATAAATACACTTCTTTTAAAATATCAAAAGTATAAAACCAGCGATAAACTACCATAATTATTATTATAATTTACTAAGTAACAATAGTTTTATTAATGCAAATTATATGTATAATGATTAAAAGCGTACTAATTTAATAAAAAATACTCATTAAAATAGGTACTTAGTTATCAAATTTTAAACCAAAATATGTTTATGTTTCAATATTATATAAATTTAAAATATTAGCATTTATTTCTAAATACTTACAATTTGGGCAATTTTCAGTTTTCCTTCAAGTGTGTATAGATATGCATTGTCATATCTCAGGTTTGAGATAATTTCAGTATTGGTGACTGTAGTAGTTGTGGTATGTTGACTAGGAAATCCGGGATCAGCCATTTTCAAATATTAAAAAACTATAAGTAAAAACATTAGTTACGTACAATTTGATTATACTATTATTTTAGTGCAAAATACAATATTCTTCATAGTTCAAAGTAAATGATTTTAAAAAATAGATAAATTATTTTAAAAAAACAACTTGTTATTTAATAAATTGGAAAAAATAAATTAAAACCTTATGATTAATCGTTGTTGATATCTTGTACATCAGATTATAGTAACCGGAAAATTATGACAATTTATAAAATAACTAAATTTCTTAGGAGATGTTCTAAAATGCCTCAAGTTGTTGGTGAATAACAAAAATGTATTGTTTATATCAACAATGCTGAAGTTTATTAGGAATTGTGAAAAATTAAGCTTGTCATAAATAATTTATTAATCAATACGAAAATAATTATGTCGGTGCCATAATATTTGTTTTATTTTTTTCATTAAATCGATGTCAAATGTTATGTTTCTTTTATCATTATTCTGTTTATTGTATTTTACACAAATTAAAAATCTCAAAGCATAAAGTTGATTGAACTACTAGTGTAGAAAAAATTAATAATAATAATTTTTTTTTTTAAACTTGTAGAGAATTTGAAGATTTTTAACATTGGGTAACAAAATATGAAATTTTAATCTTAGGTAGGTATATACGAATATATAAAGCATGTTGAATAAAGTGACCATCAAATCAATGTACAACATTAATTAATAATCACAATAAGTCACTTTAATTACCAAATATATGAATTGTTTATATAAAGCAGTCAAATACTGTATTTATTTTTAATTAGTAAGTCATACAAATATAGTCTACATAATTTATTGATAATATCTAAATGGGTTGAACCCAATCCAAAATATGATAAAACTAATTATAAACGACACTAAAATACATTCAAGTTGTTTTAATTATTAATTAAAAATGATACTTACAATTTATAAATACAATTAGCATATCATTTGATAAGAAATGTATACTATAAATTGTCAAATTGTATAAAATAAAGCAACTCTATATATAATCTAAAAACTATTATAACATTATAATACACATACACCTAATAGAAGTAATTATCATAATTAAATATATAATTATGTGTAATCTATCATTGTATATTAATTTAAATTTAGAAACAGTTTAAATTTTTTTTTATTGATTACTTTGATAATTTTGCCATATTTGTTTTTCTTTTTTCCAAAATATGTTAAGGATCTAAAATGTCATATACCAACAGTCTTTTTCCATTCTAGGAAGTGACTATTTTTGGAAGTAAGAATTCTGTACCTAAAAACTGAAAATAAAATTTGATATGTTTATATAATTACACATCAAAAACTCAATTACAATAAATTTTTTAAAAAAACCTACAGCTCTCTACTGTAAAGTAGGTGTCCAGAAGGGTTGCAGTAATGGATGAGTTAAATTTAAATACCATGATGTAAAATCATTGAATATATGTAAAATGCCTACACCACTTTTAGGCATTAGTATTGTAGTAGGTTAAATACATTTTTCCGAAAAAATATCATTGTCTGTATAAAGTATAATAATATACTTGAATAATATTTTTTTTATTTAAGTATCTATGATTTTTTTTAAATTTGAACTTCAAATATCTATAACCAAACAATTTTGTTTATATATTTGTAGGTTACAGTATCATATCAATTATTTATGAGAATTCTCGTTTTGAATGTTCAGTCATTAGCTATAAAAATTTAGTATTTATAAAATAATACAAATCAATTTCCAAATGTTCAGCATTTTGATGAATTTCAACTAAATTTGAAATCAAAACATATAACAACAAAAAAATGTCAATAAGGATCTTTAATATTTTTAACTGCTATAAAAACTTAAGAGTAGGGCCCAGGTTTATATGAAAATGTATATTCTTCTACAATTATTTTGATTATAAATGTCATAGTTTAGCAATGTGTAGATTCTATGGTTAATTTTGTTTTTTACATATTTTGATGAGAATGCATATTAATTGCATATTTCTGGATAGTTGCATAAATATTGCATATTCTACAATTATTATAATAACAATAATAATAATCATTTAAAATTTATTTTTATTCATCAATTATGTCTGGTATTATACCTACTGTTAATCGAAAATAACCCATTATAATGTACATCGATAAGTTATCGACGAATGACAACAAATTTAAATATTAAATATTAAAATTAATTCGAAGGATGGCCAAGAATTCTGGGTTAACTACATTGAAAAAAAAAACAATAGTATAATCAAAGGTTAACAGAATATAAAGAAAATGAAGAACTGTCAGTTGAAGTTTTATCTGGTTTTGAATATACATTAATTGTATCTTGTGATGTTGAAAGAAGTTTTTCCATGTACAAATGTATGCTTCAAGATAATCATAGAAATTTTCCTTGAAATTGATTTTTATTTTTTCATTAAATTAAAATTTCTTCTTTTAAACACAATTTCATAAAAATAATGTTATTATAAATGTTGAAATAATAATTTTATACATAATACTTTCATTTATTTATTATACTTTTATATTCACACAATGACATTAACAAATGTTATTTTGAATTTTTTTGTTATACATAAATTTATATTTTGCTATATTTTTGTAAAAAATCATTTTGCATATTTTTGAAATAAATGTTCATATTTTATAGATTTTTATTGCATATAAATCCAGGCTCCACTTCTGAGGAAATTTGTATTCAATTTTCAAGCATTTTTTTTATGAAACTTAAACAATTTTATTGACATTTATAAGGAAAGTAAATTTTTTTATGAATTTCGAACTCAAAATAATCGTCAAACTTGTATGATTTTGTGTCGATTTTGTTAAAATTCTAACTTCAGTCACTCATAAAAATTATTGTAGATTTAAGCTTAACTTTTTCTCTTTTTTCATACATAAAAACTTATGAGGGACCTAGTATTGAATTTTTAAGTACTTTGCCCAAGAAAAATAAATTTTACCAGCAATAGTTAAAAATAAGCTAACGAATTTTGAAATTTTCAAATGCCTATAAAATATAAATAGCTCCAAAATAATCAAAATTCTTACAATATACATTGTATAGTATTATGGTATAACAATTATATTAATCTCAAAACAGTAAGAAGCAGCCGCCTTCTAATGATCCCTTTGCCATGTCACTGATCCTCCCCTTACAATGAGTCTTTGATATATTTATACCAAGTGATGTGATAAATTATGCAGGAACAAAACAAAAATATACATTATGGACCTCCCTCCTCCTTCAGAAATGTGTGGGTCTATTTGTCAAAAGTTAATTATGTACTTATTAATGAATGTCGTATGTTTTCAATTTGAATTCAATGATATATCATTACATATGAAAAACCATTCCAAACAATGTCTGCAAGCCTATATATATTTATATTTATAAATTTAAATATTTTGTTTTTTTCTAGTACTTTTCTTAATAAATGAGAAAAACATATACATTTGGGCCATGCCTCTGGATAACATATAATTATTCTATATTCAAGGACACAATTTCACACAAATTGATCAAAACACAGTGTCATAAGCCTTAGTTATTACAAAATAATTTGTGATGCTTTTGAAAAATGTTGACACTTCAACTTCAAATGATTTTAAACAAAAATCATGCATATTATCTTAAATATTTTCAAATAGCAATAATAATGTATTTTACGGAATTAAACTTTTAAGCTTAAAGTCTGAGCAAAAAAATATTTTTCTACATTTAGGTATTTCCAAATTTCAAATATCTCAAAAATAGCTCAAAAAAAGTAAAAACATTTTCAAAATTATACCATGTATAGAAAATGCTAACACAAACATTTAGTAAAAATGTTAAGTATCTACAAGTATTTTTTTTTGAATTACAACAGAATAAGAAAATCAATTGATAAGAAATAATTATTTTACAAATTAATATCAAATTTTGTAAAAATTCAAATTCCAGTTGCTCAGAAAAATAATTGTAGAAATATGATTAACTTTTTATATTAGTTCTAGAAATAATAGATTATGAGGAACTCTGTATTTAATTTTATAAATCTTAGTTATGTATATATTATAACATTTTCTCGATTTAGACGTCATTTGATAAATTTCTACCTTCAACACTCATCCAAAATTATTGTGGATTTATGCTAATTTTTTTTTGATATTTCAGTATTAACAACTTATGAAGAAACTTGTAATACCTAAATTTTTAAGCTTTTATGATCGTGTAAAAAAAACTAAAAAACATCTGATGCTACCAAACAATTATTTTAATAATAGGTAAAAGAAAGTACTTCATATCAAAATTTTAACATGTGTTTCAATTAGGTTCATTGAGCGCAGCAATGAAAGTAATGATTTTACAATGATGCACGTTTTTTTTTTTGTTTGGATACACTATTCCTAAAACAAATGCTCTGATGGAGATTCCTAGTAACTTAAATTTGATCTAATTAGTTATTTTAAGAAGTAAAAATCGGAAATTCTCAGTACATTCTAAAATAATTGAGAAAGACAAAATATGAAACAAATACTAATACATGTCATTATATTACTATATTCAATTTCAAGACATCCATTACAGCAAACCCACTTAACACCTACTGTACAGCAGAGCAGAATCTACCCGCCTCGTTTTAAAAAAATAGTAATTCTGCAAAATATGTATGATGTATTTTCGAATAATCATAAGAAAATATACCTATCTTTTAAGAAACAATTAACATAGTAAATAAATGTTTTCAATTTTATAGTACACCTAAATGTGCTGTATATTTTGTTTAAAAAGTACCGAGAATTTTCAATTTTGACTAGCCAAAATTATCAACTAGATCCTATAATTAAACTATAACTTGATTTTTTGATTAAACTGAATTTTAATTAATTGAAACTTAAAGTATTATCAAATAAATCGATGACATCTTACAACTTGTTATTTAAACCCATCCTAGGTGGGTCTTGGGCTTCAAAACTACTCCTGATAACTAAATTCTGACTTCACCATAATTTTTAAGTATGCTTGACTACATATGTATAAAAAAAAAGGATGTCGGACAAAACAGAGATATACCTTAATTAGTAATTGTACATGCTATTATGTTAATATAAAATTTAAAAATTAATAATTTATTTAAGTTTATACATAAAAAAGGTTCTAAGTCTTCAGAATAAAAATAAAGAGATGATGTTTCTTTGCAATTGTTTGTAATTTGTAATGATCAGGGAATAATTTTCTATTTGGAGCAGTGGGTACACTTTTAATATCAAATTAAATTTTAAAAAATATTGTAGCAATGTCGTATTTTTCTATTATAAGTATAATAATATTAATATATGTACATACTTTTATAACATAAAACAAAGGTAGAGTATGTATGTATTATTGTATTCAAATAAATTGCATGTAAACATCAAGAATATTACTTACCGTTTATCAATATAAAAAAAACTTTAATCAGTACTGTTTACAATGTGAAAGTATATTGTATCATCACACATTTCACTAATTTATTCAGACTTAAAAAAAACATTACCCTTGCTCAGAGTTTAGACATATCAAACAATAAGAGCACATATACTCTGGCTTGATATCTATAAAATATACATCAAGTAGTAGAGCATTCATATTATGAATTGATATTTATAGAAAAATCCTATGGCAACAACAATGACAACAAACTTTTTGATTTCAACACTAAGTATTTAAAGGAGAAATACCTATTAGCATCTGTGGCTACAATATTAATATTGCACCCATTCCAATGAATCATAATAGGCGAGGTGTTGCAATGTGACCAAATTTGGTAATTGGCAGGTGGACAGGGCAAAACAGATAAATGTATTAAAATACTGAATGCACACTAACACACACACACACACACACACACAAACACATTCATTCACACACAGTATAAGATAAGTAGTACTTACGAGGTGTAGGACGAAAACGACAATATTTTTTATGGAATCGAACGATGTAAGTTGGATGTAAACGATAATGTTGAAATTCACAAAAATACTACGAGACCTGTTGATAGTCAGGAGACTATTGATGTACTAACTAGTAACTACTAATTACTAATTAGTAATTGTTTCGGTATTACTTAAACACTCGCGTTGATACGGTATGACGGTGAAAATTATGATATGATATACTATTAAGGTACTGCTATCACTGTGGCGACTGGCGAGAATTACCGATAACGCTCGACGAACCGCTGAATATCCCGAATATCCGTCGGACTCATACGTTTACTCACCGTTGGCCGGGCAAGTGGTGTACACTGTTCGACTTCCGTTCGTGGGCCAACGCTCCCGCAACGATGGGAGTGTTCCGAATCCCCCTCCCCAGTCCCCGGCCCCACAACACCACGCTAATTAATAAACAGACACAACACCCATCGAGTAGAATAGACATAAAATAAATATGGCCTGCACGTGACCTGATTTTTGTTGAAAAACATGCCTAACAGGAATGCTTCTAACGCCTCGTAGAGGTCTGATTTTGATTTTTTGGGTAAAGAGAAAAACATACTGGGCGGTATTGAACAATGATTTTCAAAATTCTATTTCTAAACCACATAATATGATTTTGAATATGATCAATTTTTAATTTTTGTTATAAGCAACGTAATCATGAATCAACATCTAATGAATAAATATGCACCCTGTAAAAAAATTATACTCATTGATCCTTCAAAACAAAGGAAATCGGAATACTTGACGAGGATTCAGACATTTTCCGGCAAAAGCGTATTTTAAGCAAAAAATTAAGTTTTTCATTTTTGGTCAGCGGTGCTGTTAACATGTGTACACCACTACACCTGTAACTCATGAGTAGATAGCTCAGGTTGTATAGGTATACAATCGCACTCATGAATTATCATTTACGACTAACACAAGGCCACGGCCCACGAGTGACGGTGGTCGGCGACGATGTTGTGTATTGTTGCCCCTTATGGCTTTATTAAATAGATTGCGGCATGTATTATATTATCAGTCCGACAAACGTACCTACAAAATAGCAAATTTGCATATTATAGAGGTACCGATTTTGTGTTGTTTGGTTTAATATTAGAATGATTAAGATGTGATAAAACTAGAGCTCGGATTTTAATGACCAAAATGTCATTAAAATAATTACCTATGCATTTAAAAATTTTAAAATATTCAATTATAATATGCCTTAGAAAATATTAAATATACCTGTTTTTTCAATAAATATATGGAAAAAAGGTTAATTCAAAAAAATTATTTATTTACTAAGTATTGTGGTATTGAATATTGTGTATTTAAAATTACTTTATCACAAAATTGAAAATATACAGCTATATAAAATAAATAAAAAATTACTTATTAGTTGCGAATCTTATAGTCACATTTTACATAGGATAAGTATTTTAAGTGCCTATCAGGATGACACTGTATAATAATTAATTTGCAGTTGTGTTATAATTAAATAGTTAATTTTGTTGATATTTTCAAATTTGATGGACCTTCGACGATCCAATTTTATATTTTTATAAATATGTATCTAATCTCACAATTTTGTCATTTTCTAAGGGTCTTACTCGTAAACACAATTGACGATGATTATTGATAGTAAAATGGATCATTTTTATACATTATTATACATAGATTTATTAAATATATCCTATTTATATTTTAGAATCAAAAAATAATTTACTATACATGCATTTAAAAAATGAGAGAAAAAAATAAAGTCATAAACATCCTAGCTCTTGACTAAGAACATTATCTGTATTCTTTCGTTAGTTTTTTACGATATTTTCATTTTTAAGTAAGTTATGAGTAGGTATGTAAAATATTAAAATGCTCATAACTCAATACGCCAATAAAATATTCACCATTAACTGCATATGTCAATTTTATGGAATCATGATTTTGTAACAAAATGAACGTTTGCTGGGAATAAATCGTACATTTATAATTATAGCTCTAATTTTGTTACTAAGATTATGGCATATCGGCATTATGGGTCTATAAAATTGTCTCTTGCATAGAAGTTCGCATAGTGGATATATTGAACAATATTGAAAAAAAAAAAAAAACATAATATTAATTACAATTTTCTCGAGTGTGTGTTCTTTATTACGTATAGGAAAAGATAGTTATTAAAGTGTGGAAACCATACAATTTTGCAATATTAGGTATGCAGTATTTTTGAAAATATAAGTTGCTGTTATTCATTCAAAATTCAACCTATATAAAAAATTTTTTTCTTCATATTATAAATGAATAACAAAATGGCTAGGTATTTTAGAATTTTTTTCCCAACCATAGTAAAAAGAAGGATATTATCAATATATGAGTATTTAATTTCCTATCATAATATATTATCTACAGTAAAATTTTTTTGAAAATGTTGAGTTAACTTAAATTTTTTTCCCATTTGACTAGGCTCCAACAAATAAAAAAATAATCAAGGGACCCTGGTGATTATATTTTTTTCTTTACTCTTTTTCCTATGTGTGTAGCTTTAAACGCTGTTATTGGGCACCATACAGGTAAATAATTAAATAATCATAATAAAACAAATACACCTACTCTACAGTCTGCATTTCCATATTAAGGGACGAATAACTATTACAATTGTGAAATAACGAGCAATATTCATGTATTTCCTTCACTAGGTATGTGTAAAGAAATGATAAAGATTATACATTTTCCGAGTAGTTACCGGTTATTGAGATGTCATGTCGAGAATGTATACTCTTTCAGTCGTTCAACTTCACAGTACATACATTGTATCAGAGCAAATTTAGTAGAAATTACTCACTAGCCATAATCTCATAAGTCAATATGGCTTGCACGACAGCAGTGGGACTCAGCAGTGCGCAATGTTTTAAAATAAAAAAAAAGCAGGTAAATGGGTAACGCTCTACTGTAAATTAGGTGTCTATTGAGCATAGGTAATAGGTAGTTACTGTAATGGATGTGTTAAATTTGAATTCAATAATATAAAATCATTGTATATATTTTGTACATGAAAAGCGATTCTGGGCGAAGACAGTTTGTCCGCCTATATATTATATATTACTATTACCTAGGTCTATTTTATGATATTATTGTGAATTGTGATTAAACTATTAAAGTAATTTGCTTTACCATATAATAGTATTTAGTATACTTTAGAAGGTTAAATTCATTTTTACAGAAAATGTGGCATTTGAAAATTTTATTGTGGATTTCAAATATAATAATATGCATGGGTACTCCACAATTTTAAGCATAAACATTAATTTAAAAAAAAACTAATAATAATTGAAAATTTCATATGCCTATACCTCCACATAAGTCAAAATATTTTGAAAATTGTGTGGTGTATAGGAAATGCAAATAGAAAAATTTAGTAAAAATTTCATGTATCTAATATAATTTTTTTTAGAGTTGTATCAAAAACCAAAATCGATTTAATAAAGAACCTATTTTGAGTTAAAATTCCAGTTTTTCTTTGATTTGTTTTAAGCTTTTTCTGGTACTATAAAAATTAGTGGGAATTTTAAATTTTGAACTTCTCAATGCACCAACTAAATTCACTTTCCCACCGGAAAAGGTACTGAAATCAAAGGATTATTTAAACTACTTATCGTGTACAAACACAAAAAAAAAACACACATTATTGTAAAATTAATATATTTATTGGTTTGCTCAGAAATTAAAATCTAGCCAAAAGTCCATGTATAGATATAAGTTTATTTTTTTTTACCTAATAATTACAAATAAGTGCCCTACTTACCCCACCAATACGGAGAACTACTCAATAATGTATTCTTTGAAATATTTTATGTTGAATAATGAATCCTTGAATGTGTAAATATATGGCTACAAAATGTTATATAATTTCGATAAATTATTGAATTTGTAATGAAAAAAACATTTTGTAACTTGTAATTACTTAGTTGACATTCAAATAATTTCAAATGTAGTATTGTTATCTGCTAGTATAAAACCATTAAAAAATATTAGTCCATATTAAGAATCTTAAATTGTCAAGCTTTTTGACACAGAGAATATAATTTTATTGGCATTTATTGATTAAACAGGTACCCAAAAAAATTTAAAATGTTTATAAACAACTCAAAACAAGTTAAAATATTTTGAATATTTTATCAAGTAAAAAAGTGGGTAAAGACTAGGTAATGCTCTGCTGTATGTACATTAGGCGTCTAGAGAGTCACTGTACTGGTTTCGTTACAACAAAATAACTGAAACCATTATTATTAATTTTAATATAATGTGTTTTCGTCAAAATAGGACATACAATTATAATAGAGGTACTTGCTTATCTAATTGAGTCTATACTAGAATATATTTTAATTTTGGCCAACTTTTTTCGATTTTAAAACACTGTGCAGCGTCATTAAATAACAAAATATGTTCTTAAGTGTGTCATCTCAGAGGCTCAGCACAATTTACTTTTCGGACAGTCAAACTAGTGACTTACAAGTTACAAGCAAACATATATATTAAATAATTATATAAAAATATACTATAACATTATGCCCCTATGCTACTTAAAGGTTTATGTATATAGATATATTATACTATTATGTTAAAGGCCGCCTATAGTACACATAGCTATAAATATATCTATAATACATAATGTTGATTGTATAGACAAATTTAAATAAAAATCACACTATATAACAATTAATAATAATTTATAGTCAATACTCAATAAATATAAAATATTATTGACAAATCACGCTATGAATTTGTAATATTTATTATTTTAAAAATAAGTTGAATACTTGTAATTATTAATATTATAAGTATATAAATATCATAAATATATTATAAATGTTTGCAATTATTATATATAATACAAGTTTCTTTTATAAGTTTAAATTAAAATTGTTCAACAGTACAAGAGTACTAAAATAGAATATTTTTGTTACTACATTATAAATTACTATATTTTATATATTATATAGATATACAATTGTATTAAATAATATATATTTTAATTTATTTAGGTATTAAGTCATTCATTTTGATCATAAATTAACATTTAAAGTTATATTTTAATTTTTGAGCAGGGCTATTTTGGATTCATTAGTTTCACAATGATAATTTTATTTTTTGTGTTACTCCCAGGTATAGATAAATAATGAAGTTTATTATCTATATCTGTGGTGTTACTTATCACTTTTTAAAGAGGTAAAAATTCTTGAATATTCAACTTTGAGGGTAATTTCTGGTAGACAATTGTATCTAGTTAATACTTTGATGGTTTAAAAATAAAAGATTGTAGGATTGTAGGAAGAATGAGTATCAACCAAGTTGTGAAATAGGTGAACAACATTTTGTATTGAAATAGGTTTCATATAATAAATACTGCAATTATTTTATACAAAAAAAAACAGCTGAACAAGTCGTATTAAAATTGACAGCGACTTTTTTTTATACTAAAATATGTAGTATCACAACAAAATTAAATTAATTATGTTTACATATCATATAGTATATATACAAGCAGATCCCTGATTCAAAAAAAATAATTCCTTAATTGTATTATAGTTTATTGCGTTTTATTCTTTTACATTCTTTTATATTAGATAATATTCTTACTTTTAAAATGTATAATGGGTTGTCATTCTAATACTTAAAATAACAAAGTAAAATAAACTATGCTAAATTTTAAATATAGTATGTGTTAATAAAATAGTAGCAACAAATGTAGATAAGACGTCATTTTTAAACACTTTATTTGTAGACGTGGGATACTGGCATACTGCCATAAGTTTAATTAGACTTTTAAAACAGATTTCATGAAAATATAGTCAGTCTTTAGATTACCAAGCTAACTAGGTAAACAAAAAATAAAACTAGTTAATTATTTATAAATTGTTGCCTTGTTTATTCAAAACCAGTGAAATGAAATTAATATTTACATATCATTTGTATATAAATACAATTTATAACCAATTTTTTAATTTCGTTATGAAATCAAAATTACAATTTGAATTTATTTCATTTTGAGCAAGACTTAGAAGTTTTTTAAAGTATCAAATTCCCACCTCAAATAATAACGAATCACTCAAAATTATTATGTCATCAAATAATGAGGCAACTTATTTAATAATGGTTTCATGTTTTTTCGTTTGGAATGTTATTACATTTTGTGATTTTTATACTTTTTTCGTATATTTTGATGTTATAACAATATGTACTTTCACACTTAAACATTTTAAATACTTTCACAATTAAAATAAACTTACAGAATTTAAAATAAATATAGTTTTGATTCAATTTTCAAAGCTCATTAGATATTATTTGTTTCATAATTGTAGCATAAAATACTTCGATTTTCTTTACATTTTGTATATCTGAAGTTTTAAACTGCAAGCACTAAAACAAGAATACATACCATTAAATGTTAATATTAGGTATATAATGTATATTTTATAGTATACATATAATATTATATATTTATACATACATATATTTGATGGTATATATCAATCTAACACAAAGAGTATAATTTATTTTAATGTTTTATTCAATAGAATTAAAAAATACCAAGTAATTTTGTATGACTGAAATATTTGTATTAAAAAAAACATTTCATTTAAATTTGATCCTCAAGTATCTATAGTAAATATATAACATCACACTATGCATACTTTAATATAAGGTATATAAATAATGTAATTTAGTTATTTACCGAGATATCATCTGTAACTTTTAATTGCACAGTTGCTTCACTGTGACAATATTTCATAGTGCATCTAACCTAAAAAACAAATATTGCGAGAATTAAATAGCAAAAAAAAAATAACAAATGAGTATATTAATTATTTACAATACAAATGGCTGATGGCTACTATAACTAGTTTTAAAAATAAATTTATTTCCAAGAGAAATTGTAGAGATTAGCATAATAATATAAAATGGTTTTAGATCCATTAATATCCATATTATTATTTTATTCAACATACTTCACACTTGGAAATGTAGAAATCTTAGATAAAAACTATTTTAATGTTTACACATAAACATTGTAAGATTAGTATGGAAAACAATAATTTTTGATGCAGAACTTAACTAAAGGAAATAAGTATCTATTTTGTTTTTTTTTTAAATACAACCAAAATCTAATCTGAAAAAATTATTGTGGAAAACATCAGTAATTCTCCTCCTTGGTTAATTTTAATGGAAATAAATAAAATTACATAAAATAGCTAAAGATAATATTAAATCAAGAAGTTTAATATTTTTATCATATAAAGCTAAAATGTATAGTCATTTATTGACTAGTCACTCTAAATTGAGATAGTTTTATGTGGTTTTTTTTAGTATTAAGTTAAAAGCATGTAAAAAATTTGAATAGGAGCACTTAATTATGATTTCATCAACAGTTAATTTTTTTTTGTATCATTAGAAAAATAGCACATACTGCAAATCTCTCAATTCAACAGAAGTCAGTAGAAAACATACCAACAACATAAATTCTGATCATAATAATAAAAAAAATTAACGATTAATAAGTATAAGTTAATTATGTACATTATGCAAATTTAATAAGTAAATTAAAAAAGCATAATTTAATAATACAATTTTACTCAGAATATTTTAATACAATATTACAGATGATACAAATTACATTTTCAACTTAGTAGAGCTCTTGAGCAAACAAGACAGAAAAGACTTGTTGGACTGTTCCATTTTTATCACTGCAAATATGTATCTTCAGAGTAAGGCGATAGCGTCAAGCTTACATAGCAAGGATTGCGCTGAAAGCGATGAACATTATGCCCCTAACAAGATAATAAAACGTTAATTACCCTGGTCGGATCTTTGAGGAGCAGATTGTACGAGGCGGTTTCGAATTCTTTCCATGTTTTCAGATACATGTTGATGTTAAGATAGTTTCTTAGCAGGTCGCCGGAGGAGAAAAACGAGACAGTCAGAACACTCAGAACGTGAATCTACGAGAATTCACATCAGCGTATTTTTTCCGGAATGTGTCCACGATGCTGAACGCAAGAGAACAGAAAACAATTTAACAATCTGAATTAAGGACAAACCGCTGCGATGACGCTTGTCAATGTTGTCATGCGGACGGAAGGTGACGTCGGTACTTGATGATAATTTGATAACGACGGTGATAAGCTGATAGCGTCCGTGATGTGATGATAAAAGGCATTGGGAGACAAGGTGTTAAACGATAGTTTAATAAAATAACACAGTTACAACTTCATACAGTCGTACTTACGACTTACCAATGTCATTTATTTCTGTACTGATAATTTTATAAAAATATAATAATTGTAAACATAGTCATGCTTGTCTCAGAGAGATTTACAATTCTTTTGATGATTAAGAAAAGTGAAAAAATAGTAGGTAAAAAGGGAACAAACTTTTGAAAATTGACAAATTACATCAATTTAGAAGTTTATAAAAATGTTTTTATTTATTTCTAAGAATTGAAAATTGATTACAGATTTCCCTTAAGTTTTTCAACATTTAATAACAATAAAGTTTACTAGAAAGTCTAATTGATTATTTAAGAGCGTTGAAATTAGACATTGGATATTCATCAGTAAATTATCAAATTCTCAAACAACAATATTCTTATTTGGTTGTTATTCAAAAATTAATAATCATAAGTACTTGACATTTTCATCAAATGTTTATTTTGTCATTGTCCATACATGATAAAAATTAAAAAATATTTTGATTTGTTTTGAGTTATTTATAGACATTTGAAATTTGAAATTGTTATAGTTATTCAATTTATGAATGTTAATAACATTTTTTTTTTTTGGGGGGGGGGGGTCAAAAGCTTGGCAATTGAATACAAGATTCCTCATAAGTAATAATAGTAGCAGTTAGGTATTTATTAAAGATAGGTACATAGGCCCTCTATTTTAGAAGTATTTACATTTTAAAGTTTAGATGATGTCAACATTTATCAAAATGTTTTTAATTTTAAAATTATTTTGTAGTTAAAAATTATAAAATGTCCAATTTGTATAGCTAAGGATAGACAATTTATAGCAAGGATTCTCATAAATAGTTCATACTGTAACCAACAAATCGAAAAAATATAAAAATACAATTATTGTTTACATAGATACATTTTAAATTTAAATTTGGACAAAATCACATATTAACATTAAGAATAGGTAATGGTTTTAGTTATTTTGTTGTAACTTAAAAATGCATTACAGTGGCTCTCTAGATACCTCATGTAGGTATATACAGTCGATTATTATTCATTACCCAGTAAGTTACTAGGTTTTTATTTTATTACTTCGCGATTTCTGGGTGTGTTGATCAAATGTTTTTCTCTGAATTACGTCAACTACCTATATCAATTAGTTTGGCAGTCGTCACTCGTCATAACCATACATTTAAAAAAAAAGGTCATCTTTCAAATCCATAATTTTTATGCACCACACAGTTTTATCAACATTAAACCAATTTGGCAATTTATACCTCAAACATTGATAGTATCAAACATATTATGTAGAAACCAATAACACACATTTATCTAAAATCGTATTAATGTATTATCGTTTAGAACAGCACACCAGTTAATCGTATTTAATCAAAATCACAAAATCAACCTAATTAATTATCGGTTTTTGGTAACTGTATTTAATATTATGGTTATAAATATTTAAGTTTTCATTATGTTGCATTTTATATTATAGATTATAAGCGAAGAGATGATGTATTGATTTTACAATTGATGTGTGTTTTTTATTTTTGTGTCAGTTATCACGGTTTGGGGCAGTAAAAGTGCTTCGATTTCTTCAACAGCAACTTTTCTGGCAAGAAAGTGAATCTGGTTGGTGCATTCGGGAGGTCGAAATAGTTTTAAAAGCTTGAGGAAAACAAATAAAAAATTAAGGAAAAACGAGAATTTTTACTCAAAACCAGTTTTTGAACAAATTTATTAATAAAATGTAAAATTTTTAAAATTTTAAATTCGTATACAAGATTTCCTTAAAATTTTCCCATATTTAAGAACAAAACAAAAAATTTCTGAAAGTCAAGTACCTACATTTTTTATAACCTTTTGAAATTAGACATTGAATATTCACCCGTAAATTAATAAATTCTCATACAACTTTTTACTATTTTATCTTATTTTGAGTTATTTAAAGACATTTGAAATGTTCATTTTTTTAAATTATTTAATCCATAAATTTCAATAAAATTGTTTTCGTTGTGTCAAAAAGCTTAAAGATGTAATACAATGTTTCTCATAAGTTGTAACAACAGCAGTTTAGAAATATCAAATGACAAAATTCATCAAAAGTTTCAAATTATTTTGTAGTTAAATTATAAAACGTTCAATTTTTATAGCCAGAATTAAAATTTAAAACAATGATCTTCATAAATAGTTCACACTATAACCAATAAATCTAAAAAATATATTATAAGCACAGTTATTTTTTACTTACATTTACAGTATTTTATACAATATACAGTATAAACACAACATTTTCAAATGCAGTTATTTTGGCAAAAATTAATTTAACCTACTGTAGTACCTATGCTATTACCTAATAACAAAATAAATTAATTTAATCACAATAATATCATATAGTTTATACTTAGTAATAGTATATAGACTGACAGGAGGCCATCTGTCAATTCTGACGGAATGTTTTTCGTGTACAATAACGAATATTATTGAATTTAAATTTAATACGTAAATTACACAGTGACTCTCTAAGACACTTAATGTACAGCAGAGCTTTACCTACCCACTTCGCTACTTTTTTTGCCAACTTCAGTAGTCAAGTACCTTCTTGAGTAATTCAATTTTATAATATGATTGCATTCATAATTGAAGAATAATAATATTTGAGTAGATATACTAAAATTATAATGACTGCATAAATTAAATAAACATTTATCATTATTTTCTCATTCTGTACTTGTGTATGTACTCTTTATATGGTTAATCATGGATAATTTTTACTTTGAACTCGTTTTTAGACAGAACAAGATGACTTCTATATAAGTGACTAACAATGAAGATAAGATAATGTTTTCTTGAAAAAATACGAGTGTCAAGATATATACTTCAGTTTAAGCTCTTTAATATATTGTTTATTTTACGTAAATCTCAATATTTTTTTGTTGTATTATGTTATTAGTTACTAGTTAGTGTTACTATTTATTGCAACTTATATAAACTGTTTAAATATAATTTTAAATAAAAAAATTACTTTTTTTGTTAAATTAGAAATGTTGAACTGGAGGACGAAAAAGCCATCTCAAAATGTACAGCTCAAATACTCCGGTAAGAAAATACTTTTGACTATCAGATATTTTGTATTCAAACATATTCAAAATATACATAGTTATATTTTACAATATAATATTATTAAATATATACTAATATATAACAGGTAGATATGTAGACCGTAGACTGATTCAGACTCAACATAGGTATCCAAGTTATTTTTTAATTGACTAAAGGTAATCGTCAATGGGGATCTACTTTAATATGGGTAATTTTTGTTATGAGCTTTAAGAACCACCAGGGTCTTATTTGCTTCTAATTTCTAAAACCAATTTATATTCCATATCTCTCGTTCGTAAACCAGATCCATGTTTCCATTCCAATAAGGTCCTCTTTATCAGGTCTTTTCTAACAACATCAAGACATCTTTTGTCTTCGTTGTTTTCTTGGTATTTTCCGATCGATTTTATTTATCATTACCATCTTATTATTTGAGATAACCATCAGCTCTCCATGCATGACCAGCCCAAGCAAGTCTCGAGTTTCTCACAAACTGCATTATGTCCTAATTTCTACACAGATTCTTTAGTTCCTCATTTGATCTCCTAAGCCAAAATATAGGTAATAATGTATTATAATAATAGTTTGTATGAATGTGACATTTTACTGGGTGTAAATGCTATTAGTTTATAACAGCTATTGTATTTAACATATGTAGGCATTGATATATTTATTAGTTGTATATTTTTTAAATTAAATTTTAAACTGAACCCAATAAGCTTTTTCCTTTGTGTATTACGGTGTACTTCAGTGCCTCACATAATATACGAATTGTATCCCATTTACTATTATAAGTATCACGATATGTAGGTTGATTAAACGTTCAAAAACATTGCATTTGTTATATTATTATAAAAGTGTATATTTATATCATATTATATCTATTATCTATAATATTATAAAGCTAAAGAGTTTGTTTGTTCAAACGCATTAATCTGTGGAACTGCTGGTTCGAATTGAAAAATTATTTTTGTGTTGGATAGTTCATTTGTCGAGGAAGGCTTTAAGCTATATAACATTACGCTGAGACCAATAGGAGCGAAGCATCAGTGAAAAATGTTGCGAAAATTATTCATATTTGAAAGCTTCTGTTGCGCTCGCTGCGTAAACGGTTCAAGTTACTCAAAAAATATATATGAAAAGTACCAAGGGATGTTATCGTTTTTATTTAAAATACAATATATTTTTATATTCAAAAATACACATGTATACATATTCAGCAATTTATTAAGGTTTGAGCTCTACTGCGAAATTGTGTTCGTGTGATGATAATAAATTGCCATAATAAAGTAGGGATTAAAGATTAACTAAGACAATAAATT